AATTTGCTATTCGTCCATACCTTATCTTGTAGGTCAGACATGATAGTCTCGATTTCCTTATCCTGTTCTTCTTGCAGATCGGCCATTAGCGATGCGTGCACGTCTTCATTTGTAACCTCAGATTCTCGTTTACTAGACATCTTACTGCGACGAATCTCAACACGATAGGCTGTAGCCATGTCAAGGATATCTTCGTGGGTTTCTTGATCCGCTGAAGAAAGAAATAATAGAAAATTAGTTTAAAGTCGAGTCCATAGAATGATTTTCTTAAACCTGTCAAACAGGTTAAAAATCAAAATATAACAAAGTGTACATCTAATCTTCGGAAAAGACAGAAAAATCTGCACAATAAAGACAAGAAAGCAATATGTCTGATGGTTGAGAAATGTTTTCGCTACAATATTTGCAAGTTTCAGACGATTTCATGCTTTCAAAGTCAAGAAAATCGCCAAAAACCAGTCCACATACGTACTTCCAAATAAGGTAAGATTACCAAATATGGCTGGCAAACGAAAGACAATTTTTTTGAGGCAATTCTTTGATTACAAATGATGATAGCAGTAGTTGTGAATAGAAATGAAAACAAAAGCTGAAATCCTCTCCTGGTTTTGAATAAGAGCACAAACCTTTCACTCCGAAGTCAAGTTCATCTCTCTTCTCTTTTAGTTCTTGTATTTGTTTTAGTCTGCTGTCTTCACCAGCATCTCTTGCTTCTTGTCTTAAGTCTTBACTTGTCTCGTCTAGTAACAGTCCCATTAGCAACTCTTGCTCTGCTCGGTGTTTCTTTTCTACAGACTTCAATACAGTGTCTTGCCATCCAGAAATGTCATCTACAACATTATGATAATGATAATGATAACGATAATGACAATGACAATGACAATGACAATGATAATGATGATGATGATGATGATGATGATGATGATGATGATGATGATGATGATGAAACAGTGCAATGTTATTTTCAAAGAGTTGAAATAACTCCACGTTACTCTACTTGGTTGTGTAACTTTGAAGAGAGTTAAATCTACTCTTCAAAGCGAATAGTTTTTACTCCAGAGGTTTAAATCAAATCGGAAAGAGAGTCAAGATTACTCCAAAAGAGGTTTAAAATTGCTCTTAGAAGAGGAGTCAAATTTATTCCTCCATGTGCAGTTAAATCGTGGTGGAGTTAAATCTACTCCAGAAAGGAGTTATCTGTAAACCTTTTTTAAGTCCGTTTTGGACTTAAATCGACTCCTTGAAAAATAACAGTGTGAATTATCACAATTCACATATTGAGCTCTGACTGTGTAGGTAATTCTGGATTAAAACTAATCGTGCTTTGAACAACCCTGTCCAGATGTTTGCTGCCTATACGCACCTTTTTCTGGTTCAGGTTCGTCTGGTTCATCGTCTGTTTTGCCTTTCCTTCTCTTCCTATTTGCAAGTCGTTCTCTGGCTAGTTGTTCTTGCCTTTCACGGTCACGCTTCAGCCTTAAACATTAATGAAAAAGTGAAATTTAATTAAAATTTTAACGAACCACGAAAGAAGTGAGGGGTGCGTAAGGGAAAATGTGAGAAAAGGGAAAGAAAAGGGAAAGAAAAGGAGAAGGAAGGATTTGATTTTCGCTATATTCCATTGTATCCCTTCAAATTATGAAGTTGTTTCGCAAAGCTAAGTGGGATCAGCTTGATAATGAAACTAAATCTCTGTGTTTTATTCACCTTTCTTCTAAGCTCTGGCGATTTCTCTCAGCCAAACCTAGCACAAGGGCTGCGGAGCCAAACTTTGCTTCAAGCTCTGCCTGTCGCTTTTCCCTCCTCAAGCGAGCAAGCTCAGCTTGACGGCGCTTCTCAGCAAGAAGTCTGTCTTGTTCCTCCTAAAATATCAACAACAGCATAAAAACTATCCCGCAAAGAATTACTGAGTAATTTATTGTATTGATTGCTTATCGACTTGAATTGACTAAATAGTTTTATACTGACCCTGAGYCTGCGCAGYAGGGCATCCTTTTCATCGTCAAACCGGTTTTGCAGGTCTTTCAAGATGTTACCACTGGATTTTGACTCTTCTTCTTCGAGCATRCGCATTGTTTCTTCGTCTTCYTCGTCGGGATCCAGTCCTTCCTCCATGCGCTTCTGTCGACGTGCTAACCTTTCCTTGAGCCGATCGAGATAGCGCTGGCGGTTTTCACCCAGCAATGACTACAAAACGATGATTACAATATTATCAACTATATTTACATAGAAATACAGTATGTGTATTCATAAATGCGTCGCAATAAAATAACCAAAACTGATAACTAAATTTAAAGTCCCGTTTACACTTGCGATTTTTGATTGTCGCGCGACAACCGCACTGCAAAAATTTATTCGAATTTACTCGCACTGCAAGTTTAAACGAGCCTTAAGTTTGCCACGATTATGATAAAATGCCGAGTAAATTCGCTAAATTGGCGCCCGCGTACAATACACCAGAAATCAAAAGAGTGCATAGGTTTCATTAAAGACTATATACAAAATTATCGAAAACAGAAGGACAATAGCAAAAGCGCGCGCTTTGTTTGATTTTTTGAATGAGCACGCGCGAGCTTTGGACTTTTATGCTTTTGTTTCTGTTTTGTTTTGCTTTATTTTTTTATTTTTTAAAGTGTGATGCTCCGCTTTTAATTCTAGTACCTGTAATAGCTCAGCATTCTTCAAACCTTCTCCAAGCAACGCCGCTGCTTCATCAAACTTGCCCTGCTGTCTCAACCTCTTCTCTTGTAACTTCAATTGCAACAGCCTTGCTTGTCTTTCTTGCTCAGACAATCTGGCCCATTCTGCAGCGCCTAGCTGTTTCTCCAGAGCTTCCAGTAGAAGTTTATCTCTKAGGGCRYCGTACTTRTCTTCTAARGCCTTGAGGAKCTCGTCTTCTTGACCGCGTCCTTCTTCAGTACCGAGAATAACGGCAGAGAGATTATCSAGCCATTCCTCAGTGATTGACTGATCTTCTTCAGTACGCAAGCGACGAAGCTCTTGAAGRTCCTGAGCAAACGACAATAATAATGACAATAATATCATTGGAGATGACGATATCCTCGTTGTTTGATGAGTTCTYGCTATTGTACGGATTTAAATTGAACATCAAAATTGACGTAACTGTTAAGTGAGAATTGAGACCTACAGTATGTTTTCAAAGTTATTAATAAAACATTACAATAAGATTGAGACACGTCTGTCCTGCCAGCGTTCTGCAGAACCGCACGAATTCTCCCAATCTGCACCACCCCTAAAACTGCACACCACTGGAAACGCGTGCTTGGTTACAACATGGTTGCGATACGGTTACAATACGGTGATAACGATACCAATGGTGTTGACAACTACATTGATAAACATACTAAATTACAACTAATAGCAATAGCAAATGTTATGACAAGTGCCGATGGCAAAAGAAGACTGAATTTTTAGCGCTTTTGTAACAAAGTACCTACGCCGTAAGGACCAAAGTATCTTACTAACAGGGAAAAATGATAATGATGAGTGACGATGTCAAAACAGCGGATTTTCAGCGCTTTCTGGACACAGTACGGACCTAAGTATCCAGACAGGGTAACATGATAATGATGGCTATTGTAATGACAAGCCTACCCTACCTATCAATGTATATTACCTTATTAGGTAAACTAGCTACCAGTCTACTCTCCRCGTCTTGGCTTTCCTGTAACTCCGATAAAATGGCGACCGCTATTTGAATGTCYTCTACAGTCRTCCCACTRAGCTCTTTCATCTCATTTCTTCTGTTTTCAAACACGAGACCAACAGCTTCTTGTAAAATAGCGCGATGGTGATCACGGCTCGACAKCTTGTCAGCGGAACTACGGTCTTTCCATGCTTGACGTTGCATCTTCAGGACGAGAAGCTGATTGGTTCGTTCGTCTGTGAAAGACACAGGTAGTCCAAATTAATAAGAAAATCTTACAAAAGGATTGTGTGATCATATATCGTGACATTATACTGTTTTTTGACCTCTTTTAAACGCCTCTCTATTTAACGGTCACCCTCCAGTAACCGGTCACTTATTACTTCTAAAAATTCACATCTAATATGTATTACTGTAAACGTAACCTCTATTTAACGGTCACTCTT